AAAATGTAATGACGTAATTTTTTTTTTTTGAAAGGGCAAAAGTATGATGAATTATCAAAAGCCAGCCCGTCTTTATCTATCCTCAAAGACCAGATGGAACGGCAACCGTCCGTCTGCCTGGGCGTTATTTTCAACCGTAACATCACCTAGTTTGACCACGTTATTGACGTTTTTCTGAAGGTCAAGAGGCTCACATTTTATGTTTTACGTCTTAAATCACTTTTCATTCCAAACTATCTCATAAGACGTTTTATTTTTGCGTGCGATTAGCCTCACTGGCTTCATGGATCCCCTGTTATCTTCCCAGGTCTTTTGAACAAGGACCTTAAACTCATTTCCAGATCCATTAAATTTCTGTCAGTTTGTAGTCTCATACCACGGGAACATCTGGTACAGTATATGGTGACACATCACCTCAAGTCCTGTGAAACATTCTCCAACAAGATTTTATCTGATATTTCCCATCCTCTTTATTGCGCCCTTAGTCAGTGCCTTTCTCACTCATCCACCTGTTCCATTCATGAAGTTATAAAGATACGCACTGAGGCTTACAGGCGGTCTATTGTCCCTTATCTCGCCAGATTTCTAACAAACCATGAACTCGTTGCAGGAAGTCTGCGCAAAACGCTAAGCTAAATCAATGATAAACACCGGGGTATGTCATTGGTTTCTGATGTTGCTGTCGTTTTTCACGTCCTTTAATTGTTGTATGATATTGTTGTTGTTTTTCACTTTTTCTTGACAAACTGTGGTTATGTGGTTGCTGAATATCCACCTCTCGAGGTGTACAAAGCCATTGCTTGACTTTAGACGGTAGATGTTTGGATTAGCCCATTTCGGTTTCTCACAGGCACCAGGCACTGTTGATGATGTTCGATGTGGGTTTCCATTCCTTGACTTGACTTTAAAGGCGAGTCTGAGGAAGACGCTCTTATGTGAGCCACAGATGCGAAACTGTCAAATTGTATCTTTTATGTAGTCTTCGGGTAGACGGATCATTGCAAAGTTCCATCTGATCGCCTCCTGACTTTTATAACTAAAAAATTCAAACAAACATCATATTCCTCCTCAAGGGAACTAGAGAGATTGGGATGAATAGTATTAAATAGTGTTAAAATGATCAGAGTCGGTAAAAATCAGAATATCATCATCATCAAAATATCATAACGTTTGTACAAAACAGCCATTGAAATATTATCATTCAATCGTCTTTCAAGTTACGTTACCCAATCTTGTGCGCACAAACGTTTCCCACACAATCAGTCAGATTGCCATGGACTTGATTTCCCACCCCACCCTCTCCCCCGTTTCCCTGACTATTGTCCACTATTTACCACTGTAGTTATCAAAACTTGCTTCTATAAAAACCAGATTGTTTTACGTTGTAGCGACTGAAGAGATGAAAAGAACTGTTGACATCTCGAAATATTTGTCTTCTCTCGGATCTAACGAATGGGATAAAGGGGACCCAATGTTTCAACTCTCTCTTTATGTTATCGTTTACTTATCTACTGCCCGAACACTGAATGCTTTCTGACTAACCTAGCTGATTCTGGCCTGTACGGACGTAGCATACCTAGGTCATAACGCAACACTTGAAGAAATGCATAGAGCGATTGGGTAGAGTAGGTGTCTCCGGTATTCCAGATTGGGGTCCAAAAGACCCAGTAAATGGTTGGTTGCGAACTCGGAAGGATTTAGGGCAGCAAACAGACAGCAGTGGCGTTCTCATGGTCAATTTTTATCAGACCGGTATGCTTGAAAACGTGTCTGTGCACAGTTGAACTGAGTACTCTCGGAGCTGACCAGAAAAGTTCACTTTTATTCCCCTTCCCCCTGACAACCTAACATATTCGCACTTAGCTTGTATGCAGTTTGAGTTGGGCAGCGATCAGTGAAGTTGCTTCAGCTGTATTTCCGCTGTATGACTGCAAGGATGATGATGATGATCAATACAACACATATCTGCATGCTGAGCTCACTTAAAAGTTACCCAAGGAGAGACAGCATACGATGATTTGAGAAAAACATAGAAAGTGTCCCGTTGAGCCTCTGAATGAGATCAGTGATATTTCGCTTCTGAGACATCCACATGAGGAGAGGGAGATAGATCGATCAACAGAGAATAGAAATCCATAGTTCCAGTTGAGCTTTGATAAAAGACTGATTAGTTGTAGCTAATTTCACTTCGGTTGTGCGCAAACATGTATATAATTTTTCACATACACACACACTCGTGTCTCATTTCAGTTTGCGGCAACCAAATGGTGGTAGTATGATCTTTAAAAGTAAGAAAAAGGTCCATGGTTTGCTAGTGGGCGGAGTAACGCCAGGTTTCTGTGGGCCAAATCACGTGGATTTTCTTGGGGAATTAACATCCGGGCTACTAGCCAATATAGCATAATGGTGTCAAAAAACCGCAGTTTATTGGGGGGTTGCAGGATCATACCCCTTGTGGACGGGTTCTCGTGTCCAAAGTGCCCAATACACCTAGATACCCGGTGGGAAAACACTTCCAACATGGGAATGCGGTAGTGAGTAGGACTTATTCATTAGAGGCTATTTGAGATGCTGATCCCATTGGAGCCTTTCGCAAGATACAAGGTAATGGTGATTGACCATAGCCCAAAACATCTACTCCCGACCATACTGAGGCTTTCACGCACCATGAGGTGAACAGTAAAAGACGGAACTCCATAGGTGTAAGGATTCTCTATTCACTCATGATAAGTGACAGCGACGTGGAGTGATAAACCAGTAGGATGGATGCGGTGTTGAACCCGACGAGGGCAGTTGAAATGACTAACTGGAAGCTGTTAAGCGGGGGGAGTGGATGCTTGAACCCTTCGCTCAGGCGCCAATAGTTACCATTTGTGAGATCCTAAGAGAAAACATCTTCAACCGGTTGCAAAAATCGATGTGTGGTTCGGTGCATATGTGGAATCGTTTGGCTTAGACCTGCGTATGTGAAGCGCATTTTCAAGTTCACAAATGTACAATCTTAAAACAACTTTTATGTAGCAATCAAAGTTAGCACAGAGACGATTAAAACAAAGCCGGTAGAGACGTGAACAAATACGCACAGACACATGGATCATGGTCAAACAGTCAGACACGAGCTGACCACAGTCAGAAAAAGGAGGACTGCCACTATTACACTTTTGGTCGAAGATAAAATGGACCAACTTTTTCGTCAGTTCCAACACGGGTTCAAAACATGGTGGATATTTTTGTACCTAATCGACACAATTGCGCATCACGTTTGCACACTGATAGGAGTGGGCCAACAAGAAAGTTCGACCGAAATAGTCACGATAGATGACCAGGATTAAAACGGAGGTAGGATCAACGTGAAACAATGCATTTAGTGAGGCAACCATAACGAAGAGGCAACCAACTTGTGCGAAAATGGAACAGGTGTAGAATTTCAATTGGTAAGAAAAAAACATTAAGGTGATTGACTGCGCAGTCAAGTGTACCTAATACAAACGTGACTCTCCTGGAACAAGGAAGAGAATAACTTTTGAGACGCCCAAGCATTTCATTTCATTACTGAAAAACCGAATCGCGAAATAGAAGCACGAGCATACAGGCGAACAAAAAGCCTCAGTCCTCCCGTGCGTCTGAAGAAGACAGACAAAATATAGATCATAAACAAGCGCGCACACACACACACAAATGGACTACAAATCGAAAAAGGTGACATCTGTGAACAACTCACTTGAAACGCCAGAAGTGTGCCAGGACTGTCCGGATGGTGAAGCTGGAGCACGCGATATTTTGGATTGGCCCGCGCACCAGCAGGCAAATCCACGTCGGCCAGGACGGATGTGCCGGACAGATCAGAACTGGATCGACAAGNCTGGTCGATTCCAAGCCCCGTCGCACAGTTCCAATGCTGTTCCCGTTTCCTCGTCGATCGTATACGAATGTATCTGACACTATCCCGTCGTCTCGAATGTCCGTGCCGGTCTCTTCCTGCTTCATTCCCTCTTCACACTTCTTTATGCTTGAGGAAGTCATTCCGGTTTGCAAGGCGAGGTCAGCCAAAAGATCAAGCGAGGAATTTTCCACCGGACCACCACGAGTGGGATCATTCGATCGGAGGGGATTGGCGCTTGCCACAGAACCACTGGGAGTGTTCAACTCCGCCTCGTTCGGTAAACAGCCACAACCCAACCGAATCTGATAATGCCGAGCGATCCGATGCACGCGGTGCAACAATCGGCCCACTGTGCACGCGGGTAGTAGCGCTGTTAGAAGCAGACGCTCAGGATCATGATGTTGCCTGGTTGTTGTGCACGAAGACCAGCCCATCAGACTAGCACCTCGAGCTGTACAATCGAAATTAGGTGGGAGTGCTGACCGTTAATAACCGAACGGAAAATTGACTCATCTTAATAAAAACGGGCGGCAGTTTGCGAAGAAAGATCGCATGATTAGTCCCATCATATAATTCAGTGACAGAGTACATTCCGGATTCCGGTGAAAATCCCATGAACAACAAAAAAACGAAAGCGTACCTGTGAAAACTACTTCTAATATAGGTATAGAACAGGTACTCGTATACATCACAATACCGTTACGTCTTACTGCTCTACCCCTGAATCCATTAGCTCTAGCTGGGCTGAGCAGAGAAAAAGGAATTCGAAAAGTCTTGATAGCTGATGCTCACCTTTGGAATGCTTTGACCGGCTTCGATCACGAATGACCGTCGTCTCGTCTGCGTTACTCTCGTCCGCCTCCGTGAGGGCAGCCTCTTTTTGACGTGCTTTGGCCTCTTCACAACAATGCACGCATACAGAGTAGCCACATTTCCCACAAACCCAATGTGTATTGAACATGGTGGTCTCACACACATCGCACATCTCACGCACCCCCTTTACAGGACGTTTCCATGCAACTGCGGTGCTGTTATTGTTGGCGGTCGTTGTGGTGGCGGCGGTGGTATTAGCACTCAGGTGACACATGGAGTTGGCCGAGCCGGATCTTCGAGACCAGTTGAGGTGTTTCGGAGGCGCTCCAGGACCACGGGGAAGCGGTTGATCCCGGTCACGATTCCCAGTCAGGATTGCTAATTCTTGGCGAAGTAATCGACAGAAAAGTGTGCCGGATCGCTCCAGAATGTAACGAGCTGCGTTTACACTAAGCGGTGGAGAGACTGTGCAAGGTGATGGATGATAAGAAGAGAAGAGTGCAGTCATTTTTACTAGAGAGAGAGAGAAACTGAGAGCACAAAGAATACAAGATGGCAAATCGACCCAGAGCAACATCATAGAATGTACTATCAAGGTAAAGTAGTAAATCTAATTTGTTTTCTTGGTCAATCTGTTCCATTTAAAAGAAAAACAATTAGCTTCTTCTTTACAAGATATTCGCTGCGCCCACTCCTAGTTCAAGTAAAATCAAAGGTAATGAGGATTTCGCATAAGAAAATGAGCATCAGAACCCAGTTTGAATGTTTTGCACAAGCCATAGCCCAATTAGTGAGAGAGAAGAACAGGGTTACGATATGAACAGTGGCGCTTATGTGTGTTTACAGAATTCAGAACAATAGAACACAATGCAGTTAATTTCTCTCGCATCCTACACCTTAAGGTGTGATTGCACGATTTCCGCTTTTTTTGTTGACTAGTTGATTGTAGTGACCGAAAAAGCAGCGGTAACCAAACAAGGATCAGGGAGAAGACAGGGTTGTGAAAAACTGAACGACACACCGGTAAGCCGCAA